TGTTACTAGTAGCTTCTTGTTTCTACTAGTAAGGCACTTGTTACTAGAAGCAGCAAGCTCACACGATCAACGCAATCATGATCAACATCTACTCAAGACTTATTCAGTGTGGCTGCCGCTATGCCGCTATGACAGAACTAACACACACATCAATCATCCAAGTTCCCCAAACGATCTCACCAATAGCCTTCACAAGTGCAGTGATTGTGAACTCATCTTCAGAAGACCTGAAAGTAGCAGCAATGATTCCAGTTGCAAACTGATTTGCATGTATCGTGCCCTTGAAACTGATTCGCGTGGTTCAGTCGGTACTAGTAACAAGTGCATCGCTACTAGTAGATAGAAGCTACTAGGGGCTCCTGGCATCACTACTAGTAGCATTCTTACTAGTGGCTAGAAGCTACTACAGTGTCAAAGCACTTTTCAGGTTCAACCGTTCCAAGAAGTGAGGCCGAGCTGGTCGAAGCACACCCTCAACGGGGGTCATTTGAAGCCGTCGATTTGTTTGCAGAAACACTTCTTCACACCTGAAAACAAAGAAATCTAATAAGCTACTAGTAACAAGTGCCACGCTAGTAGTAACAAGTGCCTTACTACTAGTAACAAGAAGCTATTAATTTAAAGAAAAAAAAGGAATCTTCTTTTGAGTGACCCTCCAACCTAAGAGTAATGGCCTCCAACAGACAAACTTGGCGCATCCTGGTGCAATGCTCAAAGGCTGAAGGACTTGCACTCTTGTTTCAGAGAGGGAAACTCACCGACAGAAAAAAGCGGGCCGAGCACACTGTTTCTTTCTTTCTGAATAAGAGAAGCAAACCTCTCTTTTCTATGCTCTTTGGGAGGCTATTCAAGTGCATCGCTACTAGTAACAAGTGCCTTACTAGTAACAATGTTTGCTATTAAAATTAGAATTAAGTTTAATAGCGAACTTTGTTACTACTAGTAAGGCACCTGTTACTACTAGCGTGGCACTTGTACTAGCGTCCGCAAGCCGGGCTCAAGGACGGTGTTTGAACAGTTCGAAGGACGGTCTCGGACTCTCGGATCGGACCGAGTCGAACCGTGTTTCGGGTGCCATGTCGGCAGAGTCGAGGCGCGCTCCGTTTCCGTTCGTAGCGCGCTCCGTTTCCGTTCGTGATGGCTTCTCCAACCTAGCAAAAATGAGAAGTCAATGTGTCAATGGGGTCGGGCAAGTGCGATTTAGCGTTAAAGGAGAGATGTCGGGAGGTGGCTGGGATGCAGGACCCTGGCACGATCATCTTGGTTCTTAGACTTTCACTTAGACTAAAGCTTTTGACCTCACTGACTTGTGCAGCTCTGGTGTGCCACGGTTATTTGGACAGGTGAAGATGCCCATCAAGAAACACATCAGGACAGTGCAAGATGTCAGGTTGAACGCAGCATCAATTTCAAACATCGAATGAATTGAACCTGGAAACCTATGCGTCGCACGTAAAGTTTCCCTAAATATCAAACTCCCCTAGTAGCGTCCTTGCTAGTAGTAAGGCCAGGAGCCCTAGTAGCGTCCTTGCTAGTAGTAAGGCCAGGAGCCCCTAGTAGCTTCTTG